GGCCCGGGACAGCCCCGCAGCGGGCGGGGGCCTGTGCCGCGGGCGGTGGGGAGTGCCTTAGTGCTGAGGGTGTTCACGGGGTGAATTGCTTTGTTTGGGTTCTCGGCGTTATTAGGTATTAATGCGCTTCACAGCAAACTCGCATCCCCGTGTTAAGCATTGCCGTGCTGCTGCGCTGGCCGGCCCACGTGCCGAGGGGAAGCGTGTTACCAGTGGACCCTCCTGTCACACACACGAAGCTGTGGTTCCTCACGGCGCTTCCTCCTGCACAGGGCACAGCGTTCCGCTCCTGTTCCATCTCGGATAGTGCCGCACTGTGCTCCGAGCACCATTCCCTGCATCTTCCTCTCACACTATAGCTCTTGTCTGTCGAGCAGAATTGCTCTTCAGAAGCCACCGCGGTGTCCAGCTTCATTTCCTGACTTCTCAAAAACCAGCAAATGTGTGTCTTTTGGAAAACAGGCTGAACTTGTTTATCCGACTTAAAAAAGTGATTTACCAAGTGCTTAGTAATTCTGTTGACTGGTTGAAAAGAAGAATTCATCGACTTACACAGTGACAACATCAAAATTATCTGTTGTTCACTTTCTGATATAAGCTAGCTCTTGGTGTGCTGTCTTGATTGCTGCTTTATTTTGTTTGATCAATAAGTATTGATCCCACTGGCTATACCTGGCTGCCTTGGAACATCAGATGTCCACCCTGAATGCTCTGTTTGTTGTGCTGCTTTATTACTGAGATGTTCTTGGACTTTGAAAATCTGTATTTCTCAGATCTGTCTCGATATCTTTACCAGAGCTGTTTGGACTGATCAGGTATGACTGCTGTTATAGAAACAAATTGATTTGATTTGGATTTTGGTATTACCAATGTGCCTGGCTGGGGCATCTGTCCTGAACAAACGGGGACAGTACACTTGCTTTCCATGCATTCAGATCCTACTTTTTCTTTAAGGTTCTTCAGCAATTATTGGGGTCTGGCAAATCTTACTGGGATGTAAAACCGTTGCTGCCTGCAGATAACTTCCTTCTACCCCTTTATGGGATAGGAATGTAGACGCCAGCAAAAGAAAAGGGCCGTGGGTTCAGCTGCCCTAGGAGACCTCGACCATTGTGACAGAGGAAAACTTGTGGTCTGTGCTGACTCTGTGGCGGAAGTGGTCACCCTGGCAGGAAATAGGAGACAACCAGCCTCAGCAAACACTTTGAGGGTGTCTGTCACATCCCTCGAATTTATGTTGGTAGCTGTCAATGCAGTTCGTGATTGGTTTCATGTTCTTCCCTTTTGATACTCGTGTCTGAATTATCTCACGTGCTGTACCGTGCGACCTGGGAGAGTTCTGGGGGTTGTGGCTTAGTTCTGTACTTCAGTTCTTCATAACCCTATGTCTGGATCTAAAACCCATCAACGTTTCCTCATTCTCAGTTTTGAGAGGTGCTCTAATCAAATATAGGGGTGTCTGCAGAAGAGAACCTCAATGATGATCTTGGAATACTTGGACGTAGATGTTAAGATAGACTTTTATTCAAAATAAGCATATGCTAAGAAATTTTGAATGGTATTCTGCTCCACAAAGTGAAAATACTAGTATCTTGAGGCTGGTTTTTATTACAGGTTTTTTCTTCAGAAAATAAGTTTCTGTTTCAAAAACATCGTATACTGTCATGACGACAAAGACTTTCTGATCACTTGCTTGACATTCCCCCACCATGTGGTCCATGGGTAGTCTTACTGTGAGTCTTGTCTTCAGAGACGTTTTCTGTAAGTGTCCTGATTCAGTAAAGGCTCTTTGAACAGTTGATGGCGGATACCTTTTCTTAGGCATCGATCTGTGGATTCTTGTGCTTCTCCAGATTTCAAGTGGCATTAAGCGCTAACTCAAGGTTTCACTGGAGTTTTTAAAACACTCCAAATAGAACTTTCAACTCTGTTTTCTTTTGAGCTGTTGCCCAGATGTTTCCAAATAAAACACCTGCCTTATTCTGCCTTCCTTAGCGTGCCTGTGAGTGGGAGTACAGGGGATGCAAATCTGAAAACGTGTCTCTTTTGTCATGTTCTCTGTATATGCCCATAGGGGATGATGGCTTTCTGCAGGAGCAGAGCAAGTGCCAGCAGTGCTTTATTTGGGTCATCACTCAAAAGATAAACATAAGCCCATGTGGGAATGTGCTATCCTGCTCTGTTTCAGGGCTTTTACAGAGCATTCGTGTGGCTTGGAGTTTGCAAAGACTATGTTACCTTCATGGTATACAACAATGGTGTTTTGCCAGTGAATTTTCTTCCTCAAAAGACAGAGATGAGTTTTTGGCAGGTCCCTCAGAACCTGTAAGGTAATTCTGCAGTTGGGATGCTGCACGTCCCACCGTGAAGCAGGGATCCCAATAGCGTCGACACCCAACTCTGCTACAAAGCTGTTCTGTTCAGGCCCAAAGAAGTGACCGTGCCTCGGCCTTGCAGTTGGGTAAGATGGGCTGAAAGCCCAACCAGCGGGAGTTGGAAGTTGCCGTTGGAAATCGTGGGTGGTACATCTGAGCTCACCTTGCACTGGACCATTATGTAGTGAGAGGAGATCACCAGTATACAGGGGGCCTGGATTCGCTTCTCAGCATCTTTGTTTCAGGAGGACTTGGGTTCTGTCTTGTCTGTCTGTACAAACGGACGTTAGCTGAGGCAGAGGTGGGGTGCCGGGCAGTGTGTGGGGTGAGTTGTTGCCCACTTGCATTTTCTTTCTGTCCTGGATGATTTTCCTGAGCAGAACAGCTTCCACAAGAGGGAGTTTCAATTCAGAACATCCTCAGGCCTCACTTCTACAACACTTGCCTAAATCTAATTTTTGGGGATTTTTGTTAAAGCTTCTTTACAGACTTCATCGGGAATGAAGCAGAAATGCTTCTCATTCTGTTGTCGGTGAGGTAGCTTAAGGCATTCCTCGGGCAGTTAGTCTGAAATGTGGTCTCTTGAGTCCTAGTGTACTACCTAGATCATGGTGCCTGCTAAAGTGTGATGTGGAGTTCTTATTTCTACTGCAATACTGTTTCCTTAATGATAAGGAAGGTGGGTGACTTCTTACCAGGTTCAGTAATTTCACAGTAAGTTTCTTTAGCCAAGAGAACTCAGGAATCATAATGAGGCGAACCAGCTATATGTCTGATATTACTTCTATAGTGTTTTCCTGGTGTGAAACTACTGGAATAGAAACACCTCATTAAAAAAGAGAAGCTGAAGAGGCGTGTGGTAGGCTTCCATCAGATTTTACAGAGCTATGTAGACAAACCAGGACAGAATTACTGCAGTGGACGAGTGTGATCATCTTGATTTATACATAGGTAAATGTTGTCAAGGTCAGACAGGAGTGGTTGGTTGATCTCCACCCGACATGCCTTTCACGAGGTTGAGAATGTTGCCTACAGGCAGATGAACTGCTTCCTGGGAGTCTGAAGGCGGCACTTGCAGAGGTCAGCATCCCTGCCTGCTCAGGCCTGCCCTCTCTGGTGACTTTTCCAGTTGATGGTAGGACTGGCTGGAATTGTTCTCCAGGGGTTTCCATGGCTTTCTGCTGACTACAGTAAGAGTTTTTGAAGACAAGCCATTTGCTACTATAAAGCCTGCCTGAGCGGATACCACAGTTTTCCACCCTTTGCCTCTTCCTCTGCCACAATATGCTTGATCGGGCCGTGATTCTTTCCTTCCTCAGTCTTATCCTAAATAGTTCATAATCTGATTACCCACAGAGAAGCATTATCCCTGCTTTACAGATAGGAGACCAAAGTTTAGCTGTGGTCTGAGGATATCCATCCCCATTAGGTGTCATTTGACATCGACCAGGACTGAAAGCACCACTAACAAGGTACTAGCAAATATGGGTATGAAATAATCTTCGCACCTATTCTGTAGTTGCCTGACAAGAAAAGGGGGGAGGAGGAAGTGAAAAGGTGACTAACTAAGAAAGGAAGATGATTTTGTGCTTTGCTCTAGAAAAACAGCAGTTTGTTTACATATAAGAACCCCTCTAGACTTAGCTGCAGTAAGATGATAGCATGACTGTATCTAGGATTTCTGTAAAACTCTTCTAACATTGAGGGTTTCTTTCTCCCCTTAAAGGAAGATGTAGATTCTTTTATGAAACAGCCTGGAAATGAGACAGCAGATGTAGTTCTTAAGAAGTTGGATGAGCAGTATCAGAAGTATAAATTTTTGGAACTTAATCTTGCTCAAAAGAAAAGGAGGTAAGTCATAATTTTTGCAGAATTGGGAAATGTTTAGCACAGTTCAATTTTTTTAAAAAATAAGTCTAATTTTCTTAAATATCCCAAGAAGGAAGAAATTGATGTTAGGAGAGCTAATATTTGCAGTACTTTCAGGAAAGCCCGGCTTTTTTTCTGTCTTCTTCCTGAGAATTATATGCAAAAGAATTTACAGTATTGTTGAATTGATCCTTAGCCTTTAAGGTGAAAAAGTACTGCTATAGTCTCTTAATTTTGTGTGCCTAGTGTAAATAAGAGTACGTTTTTGTCAAATGACTACTGTACCAAGCCTGTAACTTTCGGTTTAGTAATCCCATCTCTCTTCAGTAGCTTCAGTCTTGATCTGAAGGTAGGCAAGAAGCAGATTTTTAAAAGCTAAAATCAAAGCCTCGAGTAATATTTATTTAGATTAAACTTTTTTCACGGACAAATTGCCCCTCGTAATTTTCCCCGGGAAGCCTGCTTTGGCAGTCACTGCTGGCTGCAGAGGCGGGTGGCCGGGGAGGCAGTGGGGATCCCAGTGCATCTGCTGGGCGGCTGCAAGGGCTGCCCGGGAGGGGGATGCCCTGAACTCTGGAGAGAGCTTGTGTTTCAACAGTGCCACATCTTGTAGCTGTAAACTGTTTGTTAGAATAGTTTGTGGACCTCAGAAGAAACACACTTGTCTTGTTTCACCTACAGTGTTTTTTATCTGTATTTCTGCTGAGGTTTCCCTTTCCTCCAGGGAGATGCAAAAATACACCGTTTTAGCAAACAGATATCTATTACTGTGAATACATGTTTGTTCCGGTTTGGAAGCTGTATGTATTGCTCTGCTTCAGAAAACCAGTGAGCCTCAGTATGATAAGAGGCGGGTGAAGCTGTAGCTGAGATGTCTTTCAAACGTGCATTTGTCAGCCTGAGAAGCTGTTAGAGTTTCAAGTATTAAAATGGAGGTTGGATTGTATACTAAAACTGATCGCTTGTTTAGGAAACTTTGTCTCTGTAAAATAATAAATTATGACTGTTGTTAATTCACAGGCTAAAAAGTCAGATTCCTGAAATTAAACAGACATTAGAAATTTTAAAACACATGCAGAAGAAAAAGGTAAACTATTTTGAATATCTAATGAGTACGAGAAAAGCTAACTACCTTTCCACCCTAACAGAACACATTGCAAGAAATGTTTTGGAGAGCACACTTAATATGCCTTTATAAATAACAGAATTGTTTTTAAAGGTATGTAGTACTTTTTGAAAGCTAGTTCAAAAAAAGTTAATATTTGTAATGCAAACTTTACTTTTAATAGCATACAGAGGGCAGCTAAGCTTTGACTTCGTCTCTATTGTTTATAGAGCGATTTCTATATTGTTTTTAAATATATCTTTTTAAAATGCATTATTCTTGGAGCTCTAACTGGAATGTTGAAGTAAAATTATATAGAGTTCCACCAAAGTTTATATTGTATCAATGGCAAAAAGCAGAAAAGTGTGCTCTTTACTGTAAGTGTTATGTCTTTGACATAAGTTTCCAGTGAAAATAGCAATTTTAAGTTTTATCATTTGTCTTAAGGATTCCACAAATCCAATGGAAACCAGATTTTTATTGGCAGATAATCTCTACTGCAAAGCTTCAGTTCCTCCTACAGATAAAGTTTGTTTGTGGTTGGGGGTAAGTAAAATGTAACTTTCTCTCAGACTGTTTAAATAACGTGTAAAAAGCTTATAAAAGACAGCGTTTGCTGCTATCTGTTCTTGTAGTGGTTGTGGGTGTAGTTCTGTTCGTGTGTGCACAGTGGAGCTGTGCCCTGTCAGCAGGGCAAACCCAACAAGACAATTTCAATGCATTAGCAAAGGTTTCACGTTTGATTTTATTTGGGGCCTGAACAGTAAGACTTCAGAAAATTGAATTTTGGCTGGACTGTTCTTTCCAAAAAGCATATTTAGAGTGCATTTTGTGCCAAAGACTGGTGGGATCAGAACTCAAAACACAGAATTCCAAGTACTTGTGTGCTGTCAGGCTGGGATATTTTGTATTCAGAGGCTTCCTTATATGTGGAGATAACCTGCTAATTTTTATTTTGAGACTTCTAAATCCCAGATGTTCCCAGATCCCTGTGTTGGCTGCCATCAAAACCACTTAGGACAGAAACATTGTTGACATGTGCAGCATCCAGACTGGGCAGTTACTGCCAACCTCTCCCGCTTTTCTATCATAAAAAGAGGAGATTTGTCTGATAACTGTTGCTTTTAGGAGACTGTCTTCAGAATTCACAAACACTGACTTTCATGGAGCATCGCAGGTTTATTTTATAACACAGTATCAAAGAAAGTTCATCCCATTGATGGTTCATACAGGAGAGCTATGATGAAATGCCACGAGCAGTTTATTATATTTAGGTGTTCTCGGCCTTCTGCCTTGATCCTCCTTGTTGCTTACAGTCTGCACGTTGGCCTGTGCCTATTACTATTGTTGGGGAAACTCTGTCTTCCAGTTACTTTAAAAGAAGACTGGCTTATCGCACTCTCGCAGCTCCGTGTAGCGTTCTCTGGGATCATGTCTCGTTAGCAGTATGTGGTGGTGCTCAGTGCACAGTTCTTGAATGGGACAAAGCTTCATTGGTGCATCTTCACTTGATACTGCTCTTTTATCTCTCCACGTGGTAGCTTCTTACTGAAATAAAGGTCTGTAGATTGAAAACCACCACAGTATAGGATAGGACTTATATATACGTTGTATCTTTAAATACCTGTACTACTTCTTGTTAATGACTAATGCCATAAGGCTGTTCATTAGTGTTCCACACAGAGATCCTAAAGCTAATCTTGAACGCAGCAAAAATTGTTTGTAGGGTTGTGTGGCACTTGAAGGGTGCTGCTAAGAAACGTGAAGTCTCTCGCTTTTCAAATATGGTGAAGAGGAGATACTGATATCTGAAAGGCTCAATGCAGCCCACAGGGAGAGAAATCCCTCGTTGCTTAGCTATAGGAAGAGGACTTCTTTTAAGTCACCAGAGGGGTTTATTACTCAGTTACTGAAGTGATGGAGGCCACGAGTGGATTCTGGCATTGCTTGTCCTGAACCTTGTCGTCTTGGCCTGTCAGGACAGCCTTTTGTTAATGCGATAAGTTACAAACAGCAGCCTGAAATAAGCCTGCTATGGCTTATTCCCTACAATGCAAGAGTAAAAGCTTCTCTCAATCTTTCATTTTTTAGGCCAATGTGATGCTTGAATACGATATTGATGAAGCTCAGGCTCTGTTAGAGAAGAATTTGTCAACAGCCACAAGAAACCTTGATCTTCTAGAGGAAGACCTGGATTTTCTTAGAGATCAGTTCACCACTACAGAAGTCAGTATCCTTTTTTTTTTGTTGTTATATATATTTGTGGGGGATGAGGTGTACGTGAGAGCTAACATACAGGTAAGAACCAGTTTCCTGACTTAGCCTGGCTGCCCTTAGAATTCTGTAGCACTCCAGGAACTTAACCTTGTCTAGCAGTGAGAGGGGATGTCGCAGTGCCAGTGCTGGGCTGTGGGTTGGTGCGTCAGATGGAGCAAAGCTCTATTTGTGATTGGGTTCCCCTGAAACCTACCGCGGTGGTTGCAAACCCAGACTGGGAGCGTGGATGGGTGCTGCGTATTGATGGCCAGGTGGCCGTTTCAAAGCAAAGCGACTCTTCCTTCCTCTCCAGAGCGTATGAACGTTGTTCTTCGGGCTATTGCTAATCATACCCCATTCGGCTGTGGCGCAATGTTCTCCAAGCAACACAGGCCCTGCTGCAGCCGGCTTGGTGCTGGCTTAGGCATTGCTTAACTGGTTTTTTATTCCTTTATACTATCATGAACCACCTCCAGGGGTGGGGTGGCTTTTTTTGTACTTTCTGCTTACCACTGTTTTAATGATGAGGTTACCCGTCAACTGAAGCATTAGATTTAGTAAATGAAGGCACAACAACGTGTTTTTTCAAGCTGATACTTAAGCTAACTTAGTGCTGCAGGAAGTTGTGGATGCCTGAAATGGGCAAATGCAGCTGATCCGGGCAGGCTGACTGAAATCAGGAAAGCGTAGCAGTAAGTAAAACTAAAAGTGGGTTTCTCTGTAATATCCTTTTGGTGGTTTTTAAGTAAATGGTATAAATCCTGCAGTTACTAACAGTTACTAGTATTCCTGTGTGTTAAGGCTTTGCACTGTCAGCTCTGTCATTAAATGGTTTCTATATTGACTGTTACAAGTGAAGTGTGGCCAGCTATATAACCTGCTTTTCCCCTTTTTTCCTTTTTTCTTTTTCTTTTCTGAATGCATGAGCTATTTCCTTAATTCCACACCCTCAGATATGGCTAGAGTTTATAATTGGGATGTAAAGAGAAGAAACAAGCAAGACCCTTCCAAAAACAAAGCATAGTTTTGCCAATTTTAAATGTGGTTTCAATTTGCAAATATTTTTTATTTAAACACCCCCAAGTTCATTCTTAAGGGACTGAGTTACTTTCAGCATTTCAGTAAATGGTCAAATATATGAAACCTAATGGTGAGCACCACTTTATTTATTTGTAAACTCAAAAATTTGGTTTCATGCATGCTTCATGAAATGAATTATTTGAAAAGCCACCACACAGTCCAGCAAAGGACATAGTATTTTGATCAGACCAGTCTGTCATAAATAAATTTCTACCTGAAAGCTTGTCGGAAAAGCTGAGGGGCACATATGAAATGGAGTCTGACATTTTGGCAGGTTAACGTAATGCAGGGGTTTACTTTTTCATCTCTGTGTACAGCTGATGAAGTTAAAGTCGACTTGCAAGGAAAGACATGCAGCTCTCATGTTCTAGGAGACAGAAAAAATACAGTGAAGTATTGGATTTTGTTTCAGTCAGTTAATTGGCAGCATCAATCTGCAAGCATTCCTGGATATCCACTTTGGATAAACGTGGTTTTAATAGTTATTGGTTAGTTAACTGCCTGTCACTGAACTCTCTGCACTTTACATGCAACAGTTTGTGACTTGTCTTCAGAGAAGAGAGGTAAACGGAGTGAACAGCACAAGCTATGTCAAGACTTGCAGGTGATCTCACCCCATTCTTTTTCATACATATGCACACGCTGCTTATTTTTGCAAATGCGTTGAACAAGGACACCAAAACGCTGATAGCCTGTAAACAAGAACCCCCCTATTTACGATCCCGTAGACAAGATGTCCAGTTCAAATGTCTTAACACTCTCAGCCTCCCAGGTGGTGAAACCTGTATGAGATGAGGATGGCTTACTGAAGCATGACTTCTGGTGTTAACAGTTGGAATATTTTTTTGGTTCTTATGAAGCCTTGCAAGATTGTTGCCTTTTACCTCTGCAGTTTCTTTCTAAAATGAAATGCTCAGTGGTGATGTCAGTGGCTAATATTCACATTCTGTGACTGAGAATACAGGTTTCGCTGCAAAATAAATGCAAATGTTAACTGTTCGATCTTCATGTAAGAAACAATATACCTGTAAATTTTTTGTACTTTTATTTCATGATATTAAAATAGTGAAACTAAACAGTTGTGGCAAACACCAGGTTTTGCGCATCTTCCTTTGTGTGAGAAAATCAGGAATCTGATGCGTGGTCTTTTATAATGATTCCCTCCCTTCATTGGGGCAGGGGGGTGAAAAAATTCAGTTGCAGCAGCAGACATGAAAAGTGTAGCTGCCGCATACTGGCTTGAATGAGAGAGGGAGTGTGAGTCAGCGCATCTGAATTTGTGACTACAAGCGACTGATTTCACAGCACTGGGGCTGTAAAGGAGTAAGAGCTGCAGCGATGGGCTTAAACGGGTAAACCCTGACTGCTGCTCCCAAGTAAGTACCTGGGCTTGGCTCATCCACACTGTTCCTGCAGGGCGGTACTGTTTGTGCCAGTGGCTTTGGCTGTAGCAGAGAAATGTTCAGCTCTGATGTGTGTTTTGACTAACAGGTATCTGCCCGCTGCCACCCTGGGCTGCGTGTGGGGCTGCGCAGGCTGCAGGCTGCTTCCCTCCCTTTCTTTTTAAGAGCATCAACAATGACAGGAAAGGCAGCTGCAAACCCGTCCTGATTTCTCTTGCAATTTTCTCTTCAATTTGGATTAATGAGATCCCAACAGGCTGAAGCGTGCTCCCCCCTCCCTCTGGCTGGTCCTAAGGCAGCAATTGCCTGCCTTTGTTGTGCACAATGAACTGACGAGTTAAGCATTTCTGCACCAGCAAAATCAGTGCTGTGTGCGCTGCCAGTGAGCTAACGCTGGGTATGGGGGTGACAGCATTCGAGCTGGCATTGCTGGGAAGGTTCAAAAGGTTCATCTGGCTTGGAGGGGGATGGGAGATGGCTGTGTCCATCCTAATGCTTGTTTGGGTGGTGGTTTTGTTTGTTTGATATGAATCAAATAAATAAAAAACCAGCAAAACTCATAGACAAGAACTGAAGCTTCTCTATGACTGATCCTTCTCCGGTATTGCTCTGTCCTTTGCTATTAAGTCTTTGTTACTCTGAGTAAGACCAGAAGGTCAGTTTGCAGAAGCTGTTTTAGCTACTGTGCCGCCAGTCCTGCCTGCTGCTGAGCAAGGGCTCCTGGCGGGGCTAAGCCTGGTTTGGGCTACTCCTGAAGGGAGCAGGGGGTTTGCTTTGGGTATTTTTTTTGGTTTAGAATGGCCAGTGTTTCTATAGTTGCACTGTGGGGGTTTCTTTGCGGGAAGGTAGCTGGCGGGTTCTGAAGATTGCAGCAGTGGGCCCTCAGCAAAAAACGTCTCGTGGGTACTGTTGGGAAGAGCGCTGGTTATTGCTGAGCCGGTCCCCGTCAGACGTGCAGTTATGGGGGTATAGAAGCGGTACAGGTAGTAACTTACTGATAAAGAATGGGGATGGGGGAAGGAAAAAAAAAACCCACCAAAGTTTCTTTACAAGTTTTAAATTTCACATTATCACATTGTAACCATTTTGCTAAATACAAGCATATTTTCAGTCACATACAGACAGCTAAATACAGCATTATTTTCACATTTCGTTACAGTGCATAACAGAAAGCGAGGAAAGTGTATAGTATGCTTTTATTTTGGAGGTTCTGAGCAATTTCAATCTAACATGCAGATTGTTTTTAAGATGTGGTAGAGACCACAGAATGTTAGCTTTGTCTTTTTTTTTTTTTCTTTTTGTCCTAGAGTAAAAGAGCTCCTGACCTTTGTCCTGTGAAAGGTATCACCTTCTGATTTCCCTAAATCCCTCTTGCGCTAAAGTCAAAGCATTAAAACCAGTTGTTAGAAAAGAATTCTTAGCATATCCTATAAGTTCTTCATCTTAGAAAAAACATTCCAAATTTTGTACAGATGAATCTACATTTCCTATATTTTAGTAAGCTGTCTAGAAAATGCAAGGAATTAGAAAAAGATGTATATAATGATTTCTCTATCATTTAATATAACCATTTCTTACCTCTAAGTAGTTAAGACTGTGTACATTTTCTTCTGTACTGTTCCTCTTTAGAATTACGACACTTGTATTTTTAAAGTGACGATTTGCTCTGAAGGCCTGAATGCACTCACTGATTTAGGCTTCCTGGAATCTCTCTCTGGGAGCAGTAAAGGGGAATGTCCAAAACCCCATTAAACAAAATATTGGTTGTCTTGTGAAAAGTGATCTTTCCCCTGCTGGGCAGGTTCCTGCACAGAGAATGACAGAATTTTACTATTGCTAAAACGCCGTTTGAGCCAACTTCTGACTGCCATTAGTGTAGCACTCCAGCTCTGCCACCCTCAGCCAGGCAACCCGAGACACACCTCATGAGCAGCTGGACCCAGAAAGCCCAAAGTGGTTGCTTGGCGGACTTTCTGCTGGGAGAGTGAAGCAACTGACCCTTTTGTACTTGTTTGTCCTTGCCTTTGTGAAAATACGACTAACAGACCTGGTCCGAGCAAACCCTGTGCTCTCCGCTGGCGTCAGCCCGTGAGAGCTCATGGCAGCCCAGCTCCTGTGGCGCTCTCTGCAATCTTCTCCAGCTCTGATAACCTAGAAAGAGATTTTGGGGAGATTTGGGGGTTTGTTTGGTTGGGTTTTTTTAATCTTCAGGGCACTCAACCACAACTGAATCTGCCTGGAATTCACTGGGCTTTAGCACATGGTTTTTGATACATTTATAGTCTATTCAAGAGCCATCAGGGGTTAGCAGTGAGGAGCTTACTGGAAGGGACTGGACCATTGCCACACTGCCCTGCCTCTTAATTTGCTACCAGTGCCCTCCCAGCAGGTGCCACACTGCTGCTCCCCTGCAGAGCCCAGGAACCAGAATCGTTCCTAGAACAATGAAAATTAAAATGTTACTGATTTTCAGGGGTTTTGTTTGTTGAGTTGGGTTTGTTGTTTGGGGTTTTTTTTACAGCTTTACCATGGAAACCAGTTTTTTTTTCTTCATACAGCCCTGTCCATGGGCTGCAAACTGTGAGAACAGGTTCAAACGGAGAAATAGTCTGAACTCATCAATCAAGAAGACCCGCGCTTGTATAGATGGGGTAGCTTAAAAAGCTTTAACAAGTATTTTATTCTTCTCTACTTAGAGGCCTAAAATCAAACACTAGAATCTTCTGGTGTTTTTTTACCTAATCTCCCCCTATTGCCAATTAGCAGTTTGGCATATAAAGCTTGCAAACTTGAGTTAAAAAAAAAAAGTCACTATAGTTTTGTCTGTTTGCATTTAATAGGCTGAACTTCCCTAGTTAGTTACAGCAGTTGCCCTGCTGCACTTCAGAAGCTTAACTTAAAACTTGGCGGAAGCAAAGCTTTAAATGGTCAACGGCATTCCCAGAAAACACCCACCTACATATAGCTTTTGTAACACGGCTGCCATCCCATGATGACCAACCTGAGATGGATCCTCTTTTGTCAAATTAAAACATGGAGGAAAACAATTTTTTACTCTTGAACTTGTCTTGTGGCTTTCCTTTCCCCTCGCTTAGACACTTCTGTGTGCTCCTCCTTCCCAGTGCCAGTTCTCTTCTTCCACAGATGCCAAGAAAGAAAATGACACTTCAACAGCAAAAAGTACTGATGGAAGCTGTTGCTTTCCATGCTATTTAACTTCTTTAAAAGCAAATCTCACCTTTTAGGATGTTTGATGCACCTGAGTTAAGCTTTTCAAGTTTTTTTATTTTGTTGGGGTGGTTTTTCCCCCCTCCTTTCCATTCCTCCTTGTGACCTGGCTGGTAAGACACCCAAAAGGTCAGCACAGTGCTGTTAGCAAGACAGAAATGTTGGCGTGTCCCACCTGGCCCCAACACCCCAGCCTTAAGATCTAACGTATGAGGACATGGTTCTCTCTTTATGCTCTTGATCACTTAATTCTATTGGAAAGCCCTGAACATAGGGTACTTTCCAGGTACTCACCTAGGCAGTAAATGCGCAAAAATGCATTGAATAATTACTACTGGAGCAGGAGTTGCCACTTAGAATCCCAGTTCAGCACAGCAAGAAAAGCACTATTGGGCGGGGGTGGGAGGGGGGGTAATTTAAATTTTAATTACCAATCAAATAACTACTGTTTTCCTGTTTAAATCCCACATGATATTCTTTGCTACGGAACTAGGTTCAAGAACATACGAAAGAAAATTCAGAAGTGTGCATACCATGTCAGTAAACTTTTCCTGTGGAGTTGGCCTTGTGTGGAAACAGTATCTGTGCTGCCTTTACACCTTCCCAGTAACAAACAGCTGACACAAACGAAGATGTCCTCTTTCCTTCCCTCTGTCTGCCCGTCTGTCATACTAATGAAGCATCCATACTGTGGCTTCAATACCCAGCATGGAGCTATGGATTTACTTAAAAGAGGACACGTACAGTACCTTGGCTTGTGCCAGCCCGTTCAGCTCTCGGTATACTCTCCCCTGTCTCGTGCAGCCCCTCGTTTCTGCTTCCTGTCTTCTTACAACATCTACATGCACCCTCACTCACTCTCCGTTAGGTTTGTAGCCCCCAGTTCTGAAAGGTTATTTGGAACAGAACATTTCTTTCTGGGGTCTGTTCTGGTGTCCAAAACAACGTGGGAGGCTGTTCACAACGGGAGTGTTGCTCTCCCTTCTGTCACACTGAGTTCACTTAGTAAAGTACGTTTGGTTAGTAGAGTTCATCACCACTTGCCTCACTAGAAGAGCTCAGCACAAGCATCGCCTATCTGATTTCACCACTTCTTCTGAAGAGTGCACTACGTTTGGGACAAACCCGCTCTTTACCCCTTCCCATCCCTCCTGGATTGAAATTTCCCCCCTTTTAACAAGCTCGTATATATCTCGAGTCAGATCAGTGAAGGCCTTCTCCACGTTAATGGCATCCCGAGCTGAGGTCTCAATGTACTTCATACCATACGCAGCAGCCAGTTTCTCAGCCTCGTGCCTGGTGACTTGCCGCTGTGTGTCAAGGTCACACTTGTGCCCTACCAAAACAAAGACGATCTGGTATGGCTGGGGGGGCCTGGAAGGATCTGCGGTTTGTAATGTCAAAGAGGAGGAGTCCGCCAACCGAGTTCCTGTAGTAGGCTCTGGTGATGGACCTGGAAACGAATGAGCCACAACAAAAGTCTAAGTTACAGCTCTTTGGGAAGAAGGGCAGAGTGAGTTTCACATGGGGTTTTGGTTGCTTGCTTGTGTCTTCTGATTTATTAGTTTTTCTTAAGCCAAACAACCCTTCTGAACATACATCTTTAAGAAAGCAGCATTACCACCACCCTGTCTACCCTGCAGAATACAGGGCAGAGAGGCCATTCAGGTAATGTCTTATCACTTTTAGCTTGTGCTCTGTAGCGCTTGTCATTCAAAAAGAAAATTAATCTTGGCTTAAAGACTTCATCCTTGGGTAACTGCCTCACTGATTTCTTACAGCTCAGTTCAAAATCCCCACCACCATTTTTGGTCTCGATTTTCTATCATGGATTTCTGTATGCCCTTTGCTGTTACTGTAAAGAGCCCTGTCCCCAGCCTCTGAATACCTTGTCTAACCCATTGATTTAGAAGCACTGTAACAAATTAAAGGATTATTTGAAACCAAACACCCACTCCCTGACAGATACATAAAAGGAGGAGGCTACAGGTTTGGAAGGCAGACCATGGGGTTGTAGCTCTCCTCCATACACCCAGGGCCGTGGCATAGGACATCCACTGACCCTTACACTTTTTCCCGCTATGCCACTGGTCAAAATGATGGCACGCACCATTACAGCTAACACAGTAACAGGAGCAGCCAGTCTGACCTCCTGAGTAACAGCAAAATGATACAACAACTTCCCAGGGGAATCTGCATTACTGTTGGTCTTGTTCCTGCCAAGTACTGACAAAATAAAACAGTAACCAGAAAGACCCCCTGAACAGCAGGCTGAGAAATGGAGCACATCTTCCACAACTCTTCCGAGCAAGGGCAGACTTCAACGCAGCCAGAAGCAGCACATGAAATCAGCTAACAGAGGGCGATGGAGGGAAGCCGAGACCACGAGGCTGAGGAGAGCTACAGCTCGATGATTACTACACGTGGAAAAATCAAGAAGCTGTAAGACTGTGGTGTTTCTGCAAAGTCATGGATTCGTTCTAAATCCAGAAGCAATGATCGATTTCAGTCCCTGGAGGAATTCACACCCGGGTCTGAACTTTCCTTGCCGGGAAAATATAAGCACTACTGCATTTTTACCTTAGGACAAGTCCTTTTCTTGGACACGCAAGACTGTTGTTAGGGGTTACTTGATCCTGTAGCGTGTTTATCAAGCGAAACTGCCCAAGAAAGGATGAACTGGAGTTTTCAAGGATTGCTTTATCAACAGACATGCAGCGACGGGTGAAAATCCACAGCCAAAACAAGCAGGCCAGAAGAAGGGGAAAAAAAGATAGTTGGCTGCATTTGGATAATTTCTCCTCTCCCAATTATCTGGCTGAGGGACAACAGCAGCTCTGCACATTTGGCACTGAGGGAATTAGATCTGCCTTTTGCTATCTAGCCAGCTGCAAACAGATATTGGCGCTTTGAATTCACCCCCACACTGTCGCAGGCATTTCTGCTTCTCCCGTGTGTTCCGTGCCATCAGCCCTGGCTCCTCCTGCCAACATCAACAATGCCTCAGGTACTTCTGAAAGACATGACAGGATCTAAGCTGAATGCTGCTTTGAGGTAAAACTAGGTGAAGGTCTGTGCCTTTTCTTAAAGCCTCTTCCACCAACTATTTTCCTTACCGACCTGCAGGAAGCAAACTGTATTGCCTTCATGCTACACATCACTCCCCAATTCCCTTCCAAGACTCCTGTCTTCCCTCCTCCTGCCATGCTCATACATGCTCATGCAGAGCAGTACGGGGATTTGCACCTATTTGGCCAAGTTTTACAATAAAGGTATTGCCTCCGTCTGGGAGCTGCTCTGTATCCACGGTGGGGACTCTGGTACCGGAGGTCCGCGCCTGTTTGTTCGAGTCCTGCCGGCTGGAAGGAGACAGCTCTTCTGTAGGTGGTGGTACACAATTCCAGGGAGTGAGGGCTGCACATGCTTTTGCTTTTGTTAGCATTACACAACATCGTGTTTCAGACGGAGAAATCACAGTTATATCTGAGCAACCAGAGATGGGCAAAACCTGCTGGATCCAGGGAGAATTGGACCCTGCTCTTCTACAGCTCCAAAGCGGCCTCAATGTTGCCCCAGGCAGCATGTTTTGGGGCTGATCTGGCACTATAGAATGGCACATGCTTAACTGCAATTTAAGCCTTGACTGCACGGAAATTGCTTCTAATTTATGGAGAGTGAAAGAGCTCACAACAGGGGTCAGGAAGAGCAGAAATGTAGCACAGCTGCAGACCAGAGAATGCCAATAAGGTGTCTTCAGAATCACTACAGTGGTTTCTTCCTTGTGGGGCAGCTGTTAAATTACACAAAGTGGACTGGAAACGATCAAATTGGAGAACTCTGTCAAAAATGGGAGCTCATTCTTACAAACTTCCATCTTAAGAAATTCCCTGTGCTATGACCAAAAAAGTTTAAGGGTTCTGGAGAGAACCTGCACCATCGTGCTTCTTGCCTATGCCCTCAAGTCTGAGAGGCTTCAGCTTATTCAGTAATAGCTACATTTTGCCTTTTATCAACAAAAAGAGCTTGCAGGAGGAGCCCATGAGCTGCCATCTTCATGGGGCATGATTTGTCACAGGGCTGTGATTTGAAAAGGGATAAACACAAAACAGACCTTTTGCCTAATTTTTTTCCTACTTCAGAGTGCACCATAAAGGCACCTGCGTTTGCTCACTTCCCTCTAGCTTTTGACATTGGGAATTTAAGACTGCAAGGGCATTTCAAAGTTGCATGATGTGGGGTTTTTTTATGTCACTCGCTGTTCCTGCCCCTTACACTCTTCCTGCCTTTCAATGCTGCTGCCCATCGCAGCAGTGCAGCCTGCCCTTGCGTTGAAGGTCGCCTGCTCATCATGCTTACAACCCGAGTGCCGGGTCGGGTCAACCACCAGCACTAAGGGCAGGCAGCCTCCAGGGCCCCAAACTTCCTAATGTGTAAAAGAAAGGAAATTGAAGCCATCCAACAGCTTTTGCTCTTCACAGCAAAGGCAGAAGCTGGAGATGGCACCCAGGCCCGTTCTCCACAGACTCCAGCCCAAGATCCAAAGCTGGAAGCTGATGCAACTGCAAGCAAAAGCACCTCCTCTCTCAGCAGAATAAAGCACCAGCTCCTCGCCCCAAAAGGCTGCAAGGTAGCAGAAGAAAAACCTGTCAGTGGATAAGGACTGACGACTGCACATCCTGGGCCAGACGCCAGTGCCACAGATGCAAAGGAAGGCGGTGAGAAGGGTGGGGGCAGGTGAGGTTTCATCTATTGAATGAAACCAAAACATCGCTCAGGCCAGTCCTTACAGCACAGCAGCAGAAGCTGCGTGAAGCTGCGCAGAGATGGGGAGCAAAGGAAGCGCTCCCGGAGAGAGCAGGATTGAAGAGCGGAAGCGAGTTACAGACGCACGACCACCGCCAGCGATGGGGAGGCAGCGAGCTGAGGGCACACTCGCGCCCCTTCCGAACCAGCCCCGGCTGAGCAGTGCGTGTCCCCTGAGAGCACTGCGCTCTGGGGCCGAGCCTGCTCTGACCACCACTGCTGGTTTTACCGTACAGTTCCCTGCGAAACTCGTGGCACGGTCCCACACGCCGCTTTTATTTTTTCCTCGCCGAGCCATGGTTACTACAGCTCGGCCTCTCAAACTGTGCCCGTGCCGTGCTCGCCGTGGCACCCTCCAGTGAACGCCGTCCATCCCTGCACGGCCACAACCACGGGTTTGTCCCGGCCTTTCTCTGCCCCACGGCCGGCTGACCTCGGCCATCGCTGCGGAGAACCAAACCACCTATTCCATCGCATTTCGCGAGCCGAAACGTGCGTTTAGCTGCGAAACATCCTGGTCACTGCCTCTCCGCAGGGAGCAGGCGCGCTCCCCGCCGAGCCGCAGCCTCCGCTGCTCCCCTCCTCGCTGAGGGCCGGTAAACACCCCCGGAGCCCAGCGCGGCCTTCGGGCCCCGTCCCCCTCCCCGACACATCCTACACATCCCATACATCCCACACGCGGCCATCGGGGGGTGGACACCAATCCCGGGTACACAAAGCGGTACGCTACGGGGGGTGGGGGGAAGGCAAAAGGTGCAATTTGACTCTTCTTTGTCTCATTCGCCCAACGCCCGGCAGGAGGAGGGCGCCGGCCCCGGCCCCG